TTCAGTGGCAGACGATAATGCGTATTCTGGGATAAACACCGCCATCGCGCGCGCCTCCCTTCTGCACGAAAGTCGGCATATGCGAAGACATCGCTTCATCATATGACCCGAGATGTTGCTCAACCACCTGATGCCGTTCACACTTCGTCTCGCATACGTGGTCCGCCACCTGGGTTTTCATCATGCGGTTCTTCAAGCGCTCCTAACGCTCACCATTTGCCTTATACGGACGCCGTATTTATGGTAGATGACCTGGCGCATCGGGAAAATACCCTGTCGAGCCATGCTCCTTCCGCACGGGTTCATGCATCGCCATCCGGTGCATACACACTCGACAGTGGAAGCAACACCGAAGGCTCAGACGCATCGAACGTCGCACGCTGCAATGCGCAAGAGCCTCTCGTAGTGAACAGGGTAGAAGAAGCTTCTGAAGAACTTTCTACCAACTCTGAAGTGTCATCTTCATTGCCCGAAGTGCATGACAACAGCCCACAAACTACGAGCTGCCGACTGGGCACCACGTCAAGTTGTGAAGAAAACCAGCGCGAGGTTCAAGACGGGATCTCACCGCAATGTGTTCCACAGCAACATCAGCAACGCCAGCAAAAGCAAGTCCAAGAATCGCAGACACTCCAACGGATACACCGACAATAACGACGACGCAAAGTAAGCCTCCTAAAACAAGTTCAAGACGTCAGGCATGTTCGCATAAGGGATCGGCGCCAGAAACGCATTTGGCGCAAGAGATCAAGACTGCGCCTACGATTACAGCTCCGAAACAGCAGAAAACGACGAAAGAGACGAGAAGGCACCATCTGTACAACACAGAGACCGAGACATCATTCTGATTTTATCAGCTGCGACCATCGCACATGCAAACTAGAAACCCACCGTCTGTTCCCGTCACGAGACGCAACTCGACGCCTTCAACATCCGAACTTCAAATGCTACAGGGTCTCCCACTCTCGTCCGTTCCTTGCAAGAACTCAACCCATGCAACCACCAATGCAGATCTCCAGGGTGTGTTTATGCTATCCAGAGCGCAGGCAGTCAGCCTCGCCCACCAGAACTCCTGCGTTAACCGGACTGCTGCACTCTCCACTGAAGTTTCCGAAAGTTAACGGAACTCCTCTGGAGCATAGAACCAATTGTGACTTTTGACATTTTTGACTTTTTAACCTCTCCTTGTTTACTTTTTCTTGTTCATAATTCATGCCTTCTTTCGGGGGGAGGGGGAATCGTGTAACGTAAGTAGGTATTGACTGAAGGTAAAGGCTGAGGAAGAAGAAGTGCTTGATGGAATAAACATGGGGTATGACCCAGGCCGCGTTTCCCATTCATGGTAACGTCATATATATATATATATATATATATATATATATATATATATATATATATATATATATATATATATATATATATATATATATATATATATATATATATATATATATATATATATATATATATATCACGGCGGTTATCCCCCAACCACTTTATTGGGTATATATGTAAATTAAACGTGGGAGGGTCAGTCAGCGCCACCTGTAGCCATGGTGGCGCTGACGGACACTCCCATGGTGGTGTTCACTGACACAACCGCCAGAGGTATACTTCTGGCGGTTGCCGGGCATCCTACTATATAGAAATAAATCACGAACAGAAAAAGTTTTTCATGGCGTCACTGGGGAGGTCCCCAAATAGAGGAAAAGAATGAAAAATCGAGAGAAGGGGGTTGCAGCGAAAAAAAAAAAAAAAACCTTCCTTTCCCACTTCGCATGCAAGCGGAATGCGCTCGTGCCTTCGGTCTGCTTGGGCGAGGCGGCCATTCGTAAAATTTTTTTAATACGGCACAAATAAAATGAGCTTTCTTATTGCACGTCTTGTATTTAAAGAAAACAGATACATACACGTAGTGTGAAATTGTCAATCCATAAAAGCAGCTTTAAATTACAAGTGACATGCACACATAATGAGCAATAATTGAACAATGAACCAATACGAAAGTTATCAACAATCGGGAGTAGAACACGTCGTCTTTCACCCGATCACGTTTGTTAGGACGGCACGCATAGATTTCTGACAGAACTCGAGCACCAAACGAGACTGGGAGAGGCTTGAAGCGATCAAAACAAAGAACGTCGCTGGAAACAGTGTTTCGGCAAGTTGACTTATGCTCGTCAGGGCAAGGGCGTAGCCGTGACGAAAAAAAGTTCACTTGTCAAAACTTTGGCTCCACCGACATTCTCTGTAACAATATTTAGAAGCATTTACTCCATCACGTCTATTTTCGTGACAGTATTAGAAGCAAAAACTCACTAATTTCCAAACCGCGGCTACAAGAATTCCATGGGCATGGAGCAGCCTATAATTACTTGACATCATTTGAACTACACGCCAAAAGTAAAAAAAAAAAAAGCTATAACTATGAAGCCGAGCCAACTCGAATTCAAGCCTTTCAATGAATGCATTTTGCCTAGGGGAGCTTGGCTGCCGTCTCCGCCAATTATTCTAGCGACACTGCACTTCTGTCAGTCTAGTCAGGCTTGCAGAGAACTGGGTTTACTCATCTCTGTGTCATGCAAAATCAATCACCTGCTCAAATAGTAGGTCCGAGTTCTTGTGCTCACCCGTCGCCTTTAGAAAACGCTGGAAAACCTTCGCTTAACTAGAAATCCCCGGGTTATCACGCCGCAGAGCCGCGGAAAAAAAAAAAAATGTGTCGTCCGATTAAGCTATCCTCGACGAATGCATGCTGGACTTGTTCGGCGTAGCTCACTGCGACTTTCGTTCTCTGCCCGCCACAACTTGTAGTCTTTTATCTTTCCCGTAGTTGGCCCGCCAACCGAGCGACATAACTGAGAACGATGCAACTTGCGGATCGAGTGCCGAGGAGGAGCGGAGGGACGCGCTACGAACTCGTCAATCACTTCCCGCGCTTCGCCTGGTTTAATATTCACAAAATAAGGAATAATTGATTGATATGTGGGGTTTAGCGTCCCAAAACCACCATATGATTATGAGAGACGCCGTAAGTGGAGGGCTCCGGAAATTTAGACCACCCGGGAGTTCTTTAACGTGCACCCAAATGTGAGCACACGGGCCTACACCATTTCGGCCTCCATCGGAAATGCAGCCGCCGCAGCCGGGATTCGATCCCGCGACCTGCGGTTCAGCAGCCGAGTACCTTAGCCAGTAGACCACCACGGCGGGGCACAAAATAAGGAATAAGAAAAGACATGTAAACAAAAAAGTTCTTTACAGGGGTATTGGTTTTTTTTTGTAGAACTTTTGAAAGCCAATAAATGCAGACATTGTCATCAACCTCACTCCGTTCAACCGCAGCTTAAGATGCCTGGCAACCGCTACGAGCACGCATGTTTCTTGAAACCGAAACTAGCGCTGAGTTTTCGTCGCCTTGTCGAGATTCGATCCCGCGACTTCTGGGCCAGCAGCCGGGTGCCTTAGCCAATACCACCTTGGCGGGTGTGTCTGAAGATGCAGACGCTTCACTGCGCACACGTTTTAACCTAGTTCATTTTTTTATTGATATGATACATATAGGGAGATGTTGGCGCATAAGCACGGCACCGGCTACTTCTTAGCCCTTGAGTGAAAGTTGAACTCATATCTTAAAGTAAAACATAAAGAGCACATCGATAGAAATGTGCCACCAAGAGTGTACCTTAAGCAACCGCCTTCACCTACATAAACGTGCTATGGACACTGGAGTGAAACGCCTGACGATTTATTTATATGATTTTGCACGTTCCATTGATTCGTTATGCAAGTTCCAGCAAAGTAATCTTTCTTGAAAAGAACTTGATCATATCACTTTCTGAATGGTCGTGCAAGTAAAGTAAAGATAGCAGCAAGTAAAGATAGCAAGCCTGTGGTTATATAAATTTATTTGTTCAATGCACGTTACAGGCCCATGCATGACATTGCTTAAGGAGAACATCTAGAAACACTTTGCCTCATATAGCTTTCTGAATGTCCGTGCATCAAGTAAATATTGCAAGTCTGTGGTTATCTAAATTGAATTGTTCGATAAACGTTACAGGCCCATGCATCGCATTGCTTAAGGAAAACGTCAATAAACACCTTGCACGGTTTATAGATGGCAGATATTTATATAAGCGATTCTTGTCAACCACTGGACCAAGATTTCTTTAATGCTCAGAATCCGCATGTGATGTGATACCGTCTCTTCCTCTCCTTCATTTGTCTATGTATTTCCATCCTCTTCTTTTTTCTTTTTTCAGACTATTCCCTTCTTCTTCTTGAAGTGGTGTGGTATGATGGCGCTTTTAGGAGAGATCACAGCCAGCTTATTTTCTTCCTCTCCTTCATTTGTCTATGTATTTCCCTCCTCTTCTTTTTTTTTTCAGACTATTCCCTTCTTCTTCTTGAAGTGGTGTGGTATGATGGCGCTTTTAGGAGAGATCACAGCCAGCTTATTTTTCTATATTGTGTTTCTATTTATTTTCATAACAAATAGCGCTGGTGGAACACGAGCACTTTATTCGCGATCAGGACCGACCCGAACAGGATTTCTTGGAGCAATCGAGAATGGTCGCCGCTGCACTGTCAGAACTAATACGGATCTAGCTTGGCGTGGACACCAGCCAAACCACGACCTGGGAACAATATCGCGATGATATTGATCTCGATAGGGCCTGATCGCAATCAAAAGTGACTGCGCATCATCACGAATGAAAGAAAAACATTTACAGAGCTCGTTTTTTCATTTGATGCAACTTTAATGGCACAAGTTTCTTCACGCCTATGTCACAATCGCTACAATACACGTAATAACAGTCGTTGACCTTACTATCTGGTAGTCTTAATCCATGCGTGTATTAGCGCGTGTAACGGATCGAACCTAACCTGAATCGGCCTTGATCATGACCAAAAGTGCCCATGTGACACCGTTATGACAATGACATAAACGTAAACAAGTGCTAGCCGAAGCGTATATGGTGCCATCTTTCTTGCAGACAATCCGACGCTGTACTCGTGCGAGGGTCAGATCGGCCACAAGCTCTCCTTCATCAAGCAGTACATTCCGAGCGGAGTGCCGCTCTTCCTGGTAGGACACTCCATCGGGTGTCACATGGTCCTCGAGATACTCAAGAGGGCCCCAGATCTCAATGTGAGTTGCCTTGCTTTTCTGCTAAATATTATGTATGCATGTGCTGCAAACTCGGACGTCGCGAGCGGGTACACATTTTGGCTGACCGTAGAGTATCAAGGGTTATTGAAATCCAGAGCGGTCCCCTAATTGTTCTCGTGGGATTTCGGTATTAAAATAATGTTTATCTGGGGAGCGTTTCCAAGAACACATAGGAATGAATATATTACTTCCTCCAGCATCTACTGCATTGATTGTAAAGAGACCAACAACCGTCTAGAACACGAATTAGATTACCTCACTATAGAAGGATAGTCTGCTGTGTTGTCTACAACGAAACCTTTTTTTTTTCTCATTAAACGCAGGTCCATATTCACATTGATTCACTCAAAAATTACTTTTGGCACCTCTAGCGACAAAATCGTAAACCTGCATTTCAACGTATCAAATGCCCTTTTACTGGTATATGCTATTATTTTCTTTATATTAGCGTTGAAATACAGCAAAATTATTTCCTTTTCCAACGTAAATCATGCGGACACGCGTTCGTTTGCACTGGGCAGAAATTATGGCACCGCCTTTGCGTGACGTACAATACGATGCCCGTGAGAGGCAGCAGGAACGCCGTTAGCTGAGTGCCCAGCGACACCGGCTGGCGTGTTGGAGAAGTACGAAAAATGCCTCGTGGCCTCCGCGATTAGCTCTACCGGCACGTTGCCGGAACGCATCGAGGAGGCCACGAACACCCAGCTCACAAGGTGGTGAAGAGATCTCATATGTGACGACGAATGTTCGGGAAAGTTATTCAAAAATGTCAATATGAAGGTGATTAACCGAATTCGCCTACTCCTGTGAAAGCAATACCTTGATCATAGCGCGATGCCGGCTATCGGCATCAAGATCGCTTTTTCACCTATTTTCGTTAAAAAAAAAAAGCCCATGGACGCATATTCACGGGCTTGGACATTCAGTGCTACGATAAACGTTCACGTGACAGAAGAGTTCAAATGTGCCCAAATGCTAGTTGTTCGGAAACTTTAACAAGATGGTCTGAACGTTCGTATCTAACCCGTTACACTGCGATTCGGGTCACTGGGTAGTCCATGGCCTAACGAATGGAGCGTCGAGCAACCGGTTTATTAACCAAACATCGCACGAACACAGGCGTCTTCGTGTGATCATTTGTCTGTTCGTCTGCTTTATTGTGCCATTCTAAATCTACGCATCCGCGCCAACTCGCCCAATTGTCACTGCTCCTCAACGGCTGGCAAGGAATCGGTTCTCGTCACATCAGGGAAGAGCACTGCGCTGATCCTCACTGATTTGCACGCGTAATTACACGAAATGCATTATGCCTGTGCCGTATGATATATCGTAAACCTGACATGCCAGAAGCATTTTCCAAGTGGAACTATGAAGAAACGAAAATGCTTTCAACTTTTCAATATAAACGTCACATCTTACTGCAGTCGTTAGAAATTTCATTGTCGACCCTTACAGATATAAATTTAGACAGTCTGTAGAATATAAATTTACCTTTACACAATCTGAATTCATTTTTGTAAGGCAAGTTTAGTTAGTTGGACGGCCGACAGCAATAATTACCATCCCACTTATTTGTGCCCCTTTGATGCATGCATTTTAGGGCAGAAGCTTCAAATGTCTCATTATGACGTCACACGATGAAACATCATCATCACCACCATCACGACATGACGACGTGGTGGTGGCGGTGCTGATGATGATTAGGCGCACTTTAGTGCTCTTTTGCATAGCTATATATAGCATATATACACCAAGCGCCCTTTGGTAGAACGCGTTCTTTGCGCAGTACGTTCTTGGCAAAGGGCATATAGTTGCCGCCTGACACTCAAAATAAGAAATTAATACAGGGTATTTGCACCCTTCCTATTCCTCATTACGTTTCGTGTTTCCAGAGGTAATGCCTGAGCTTATGTTTTGTTTGAATAGCCCTTTCAAATGTTGCATACATTTTTTTTTCTGAAATTTTACATCAACCAGCACATAGCGCAGGCAAGTGCATGCATTACGGCTCATTCACGCGGGCTCATTGTTCGTAGGTGGTCAAGGCGTTCCTGCTGTTTCCGGCCATCGAGAGCCTGGACGCGTGCCCTCGCGTGAGCCTGATCAGCCCCCTGGTCACCTACCTGCGGCCGCTGACCGTGGCCTCGCTGTCCGCGCTGCGGTTCCTGCCGCGCGCCGTGCAGGACATGCTCATACGCTTCTACATCTACCTCGCTACCGCGTGCACTACGCCGCACCGGACGTCGCTGAACGGCGCGCAGAACTACTTCCGGCCCGAGTGCCTCATGGCCTGCTTCGTGTTCACGCGCGACATCATACAGAAGGTGCGCGAACGGGACGACGCCACCATCGGGCGGCACGCGGACAAGCTGGTCGTGTACTACGGCCAGAACGACCACTGGAGTCCCGTCGAGTACTACGAGAACCTGCGCAGGACCTTCCCCGAGGTGGACGTGCGGCTCTGCGAGCGAGGCTTCCGGCACGCCTTCGTGCTCGACTGCAGCGTCGACGTGGGCGACATGGTGCGCGGCTGGATCGAGCCGCTGCTTTCCAGCAGCTAGCGGACGAGTGTCGTGAACGCCTCTCGAACTGGTGCTTCTTTTCGTAATGTCACGTGCATTGAAAGGTGTGACATGCTGTCCCGTTTATTTGCACCTCTGGACACATTAAGAGTGGCAAAAGTTATGGCGATACTTGGAGCAGTTGTAAATCAAAGTTCTAGAAGGACGTTAACTGCGATCTGCGGAAAGTGACGGCAGGGGCAGTAAGTTGAGGTTTTGTCACCGTGTGAATGGTGGCAAAGCGTTCCTATCGCCCAAAGGCTAGCGGGCATTGAGAAAGGGCTCGTACGAAACTGCTAAGGATACGTGGTGCGAACGAAGAAATCAAAGTTGACGATGGTCTCGTGAAGCAGGGTCGTAAGCGTACCACCATGGGCGGGCATGGGGGGAAAGAGGGAGGTTCGTCGCAGCGCCCTCCTCTCTCTTATGTCAAAATATAAAGCTAGCTTTGCGTCCCCCCCTCCTCCCCGCGTAGCAGCGCGCCCCCCGTGTGCACGCCTATGCATCTGACTGTTTATAAGATATGAGTTCCAGGAAATAATGTGATACGTTGGTTTTGCTGAAAAGAAGCCCTAAAGATTTGTTAGGAGCCGTGACCATGCGCCAGATATTTTTATACATTAGCCGTGCTGACTAAATTCAGCGATTATAGGCTAATAGTATGGCTGGACCAAGTTTCCAATGGACCGATTATGGAAATATTCCAGACGACGTGCGCTGGTCAAATTAAATAAGCGCGCTCGCCTCGTCTCCGTTGGTCGAATGGGGCAGGCGTGACGTCATGCAGGTGTGGAAGTATATGTTCGAGATAGATCGACTGAGGTGTCGCCTGTGCATCGAAGTTGATAAAGAGAATAGTTCAGCCACCAGTTCATGCGTGGCGGCTTTGCACCGTCTGCACTCATGATGAACAAAGCCCTGAGCTTAGCTAATAATTGCAAGCATGGCTTGCAATTATGACTACGATTTGCTTTCATCTTTCCTGATCAGTGTTCTACAGCACAGAAAATGTTGAGAGTTGCTACCATTTTATTTTTGTATGATAATCAAGAGCATACAAAATCCGCATGGAAACACCTCGACAATGCTATCTCGCAGTTGCTCATCAACTATCATCGCTGCCTGTAGTTATAAATTTTTGCCTATTGTATACGCCAATCAGAGGGAAATTTTTATGTGGACCCAACACTCAGTGGAATCACCATGAGTAGCTTTCACTTACTCATTATCATCGCTGTTACGAACTGTTTGCGACAAGTTGCTAATACCGTTTACACATTTCTCTGCACTGCCTCTACATATCAACTTCTTCCACGTCATAATCAAACCCTCACCACATTACTTCTGGATACTACAAAGAAACCTTCACGTTAATAGAAACATCACCAACAAAGCAGTCCCATCGCCAGTAAAGCAATTTAACAACAGTACCCCCCCCCCCCCCCCTTGAAGCAATTCCATCAGTGGAGTGTATATATCGACGAATGGTAGGTGCGAGCGTTTAATTTAATATTTTACACGCTTGCGCTTTTCGCAACTAACCACTCTTTCCCTCCACATGTCACAGTGCTCGCCCATTGCATAATCGCATCTTTGCAGTAATACTTTTTTTATTTCCTGTTCTAAACACTTGCCTATAGCTTCTTGATAACACCCCCATTGAATCGCAAGCTTACAAAGTGCTTGCAAGGAAGTTCCTCCTATATCGCACACCTTCGTGTATGGTGGTCTCTTCAAATTTTTCTCATATCAGCTCTTTTCAGTTCAGACGGCTGACGTCTTCAGGTGGCATAAAACAAGGAGAAATCAAATACCTAAGCGGTTGTCTTTTACTTAGGCCTCCACGCGTGCCGTATTGATCAAAGACCGTATTGATGGGTTCGCCTACTGCCTGCGCAGATAAGGTATCGCGCAGTTCTTTTTCTCCGTTGCGCACCTTTCAGTTGTTATTCGGCGTGTGCCATGTCTTGGCTTCTTTTTTGTGTTCGTGTTTGCAAACCCAGTCTTTTCGCATTAGACGTAATTAAGTTTGCCTTTTTCTGGCTACATCTGCCCGAGAAATGTCAGGATGCCTAAAGAGTTTGTAGGGACGTTCCGGTTTTCGGTCCTTACTCTCAAAAACAGTGACACAAACATATGTCTGTAGTGAAAAATCCTACTATCCTCGAGTATCTTCAACACGCAAATGAGCGAACGTGACGTGATTGGAAGGAACGTCTATTCAATTAAATTTATTTTGCGTGGGACGGCGTCTGGTTGGGGGCAGCGTTTGCACCCACTATTTGGATGCAGCTAAACAACTATATGCTTACTCGAAGTGCAGGAACAATAAAAGACACTTCAGTACCGTTGTCAGATTGCAGGCTAGAGACTAAACCGTTTCTTCTTCAAACCTTCTAACTGCGCAGTTCTACCTACTTAGCTGTTGGGTATGCTCAATAGCTATGAGATGGTTTCGATATGAATATCTGCTCATATGTGCTTCAATCAACTCTGAAATTTTGAGTTTCATCTGTTGTGTCTAAAGCGATGACTATAATTTTTTAAACATTTTTTTCCTTGTCGTTTTGTACCAGCAACGTACCCTACTCGGTGGTATAGTCATTCCCTTCGTAAAAACAGTTTGGCCAGCTAATTTATAAAACACAAATTTATTTATTTATTTTCGATACTGCCAATCTCATACGAGGCCAAAGCAGAAGGGCATCAGTTCTTGGATACACAATACAGTTTTCAGTTTCACATTTGTACAGCGGCATATTTGTCAGAACGTCTAAGTGGACGCAGTGGCAGAAATGCCTGAAGGGCCCTCGAGGCCTTTACAAAATTCAATAAGTACATTTTGAAAAAATGGCGTTAATTGCACACAAACACTGCACAATCGGTACATACTTAAAGACGGCATACAAGACAGTTCTTATCTAGTAGACAATACAACACTAGTTGTACACAAACACAAGAGCACTGGGAACAATACACCAGAAAAATACACACTTAGGTAACTTTGAACCAGTTACTGCACCCAGCAAAACAAACTCGTTTACGCGCAATTGAATGCGAACATTTATTCCACAAGAAATAACCGCTAGTAAAAAGACAATACAACACTAGTTGTACACAAACACAAGAGCACTGGAAACAATACACCAAAAAATTACGCACTTTGATAACTTAGAACCAGTTACTGCCACCAGCAAATGTGAGACACGGTGCATGAGCTGTGTACTACCTTCTTTGATTCGCGGTTTTCTCTTTCCTACACTCTGAAAAATGGCGCAATCTAATAGTCTGCCACGCAACAATGATTGTCATCTATCTTGCAAAACTTTCTTGAGTTATCGCCACGAGCCCGGTACTACCCAGTCACGAGCTACTTGCAATAACTGCAACACTCTCGATAGCAAAGCAAGCCAGAGAACATTATTCATAATTGAACATTTTGTTGAAGTGCTTTAACAAAATTTTCAATCACGAACGTAATCGTATTGGCCTAACTTGATATTTTGCGACCAGTATTGCTGTGCGATTCTCTTTCGCATTAGAGGGTAGCACAGGATTGCTCATTTATTACACAATTTTTTTTGTATAGAAAAGTGTTGTCATTAAAATATCATTAACTTCAACTTCATTCCTGTTCGAGGGCCCCTGGTGAGCTGAATAATCGCATTACATAAGCAAGCACATTAGCCTATGGCCTCTGTGCTAATGAGCTTTCGACTTCCTTAAACAGCCTTACTTGAGCCATCCTTTCATTAAGTGCCACACCCACTTTTCTGTCGACAAAATCAAGGGTGTCAATTCAATGAGACAGCATGCCAACCTAGTCAGAATGTGTTTAGAGCTGTTTTTTGTATCAAGGCGCATACCAGCATACTCGTTTTCTTCTGTTTTATTATTTTGTACACGAAACTTTCGTAAAGCGCTGACGATGGCAACAAGTGATAGTGTTTAGTTATCGGCACGCTTTCTAGCAAATCATATATGCATTCTAGTCCCGCCTTTATGCGGTACGTGCGTTTACATGAATGTTACCTAGTTTCACACTACATGTTCTGTACGTTCGTACAACCGTTTGGAGACTATATATACATATATATATATATATATATATATATATATATATATATATATATATATATATATATATATATATATATATATATATAATAAATATTGGGGATGTAAACAAGATACCAGTGGCGCCACATTGTGAGTCTCAGCGCAAGCGCAATGCTCAAAGGTAATGACAAGGATCTTTGCTCCACCCCGGCTGTGAAAAAAAAAACATCAACGTAACCACGAATTGGTTCTACATGAGCAGTCACAGATGGGAATGAATCTCCTATTTCAGTGAGATCAGCATAACACAGAAATCGAATCAGTCTTACGTTTTTTTTTCTCTTTTTTCGTACGAGAAACTGTCTCAACAGGTCACCACCTACTGCCGTTCACTCCAACGGCGAACTATAATCCGTAAACCTTGTTTTGACGTTTAGAGAATTGCGCTGTGCTGTTATTGCGAAAGCATCATTCCAACATATCTGTGAAGGCTCGTCTCGTGTCAATGCTTATAGTCGGCACGCGTAGGGCTTCTATTAGCGAGCTACCTGTGCTCCTGACACTGATATCATATATAGAAAACTCGCCATAATTATTGTGCAAGTTGGTATTCGAAACACCAAGCTTTTTTTTTTTTCGTCTTGGACCGATGATTTCTGCCACATACGCAAAAGTTGGGATCAACTTCATTGTTATTGGTGTTAGACTTACTGTCACTGCTCAAAAGCTTATGGACAGCCACACCCGAGAAAAACTTCCCTTCTCGGGCTGCTTGTGGCAGCACAAAAAAAAAAAAAGTTCTCTATGGAAACGTCAGGGTTGCAGATTTATCGCAGGTCAGCGGCCCGTTAACTCTTGACGCCGACTGCACCTTAGGAGAAAAAAAAAACATTATTTAGTTTTTGCATATTTCAGTACAGTCTATTACCGATCGTTTGTTAAGGTACCAGTTGATAATATTATGAGCGGAAAGATGTACAGCGAGCACAGAATGGGATCAAAACTACTTCGTATGAGACCCTGCCTATTATGGGGGTGTCCCATGGGCGGGACTTTTGCGCAGATACATTTGCAAGTCTTCCCAAACAGAGAAATCAGCGGGCGACAAATGTCTGCATGTGCACGTCGTCCCACGCAGTGTTGTCAAATTTTGTACATATCGAATAAAGATTTTTCACGTGGCAGCTTGTTACTCTGTTGCACGTGTCCTTTATTGCTTTCAAGTTTGCTTACTCGTACTAGGCGTTCATCCAAAGGCAAACATTCAGCGTACGTCTGTCCGACTTGATACAGGCGACTTCAAAGGGAATGTAGAAACTGCAACCAAAGTTAACTTTAAAATGTTTACTGGCTGACCAGCTTTGAGCCGCACGAGAAGGCGAAGATGCCACCCGGATCCAAGGACTTCGAGCCATCACGTGAGGCACTGCGATAATTGACGGATGGTGGAACGGGACAGGGGTTAATCACCTCTTCCCCCGCCTTACCCGAAGGAAACTGCCTGACTCGCTTTGCGTATAGTTATAAATAATTCACGTTTCAAAGTCCGGCGCGTTCGAAGAGATCTAAGTGTCTACTCCGCTTGGCCGGCACACACAGATACTCGAAATCCGAACGAGACGGTCCGCGCGCTTGCGCGAGAAGCCACCGCGCTGCCTAAGAGGTGCCCTGGTCGGGAGATGCTGTTGCCGTAGACGAACTACTATTTAAAGGCAGACTAACCAGCTATGCAGAATTCACAAAGCACTATCAATTTTGACGAGGACTACCCCTCCATTAACCCTGAACTAAATGGAAGCAGGCGCCATAGTGACGAAAATTGAAAATCAAATCTTATCTCCGTGTTCAGGGACGCAGGGTATTCCGAGAACTTGATCCATGTAAAGAGTGTAATTTAGAACTGTCACACTATATATATACGGGGGTGCCCCAATGGAAATGGGTGAGAAACGCTGCTCAGATCGAATCAACGCGGGCTATTCAGCAGGCCAGCGAGACCACAGGAAGTCAAGTTCTTCAGTCCTCTATCTGAGCAGTCTGGCAGGGACTATAGCCGGATGTCGGCATAAAGACGCTATACTCACTCAAGCCTGACCGTTATATCCTTGAAGGGAGAGAAAGCATGAGATTGCTTATGAAATTACATTTTTGATGCACAGTCGTGAGTGTACGATTAGGCCTCGTTCAAACATGCGACTATAGTACCGGCCACGCGACAAAGTTATAGCCGCAAATGGCCACTTTCGTCGCAAAGGACTGCTGCTTGATTTTTCAGTAGCAAACCTCTGAACTGAATCATAGGGCGGAGGAACAGGACATCAGGTTATTTTCCGGGGCAACGGCAATGCGAGAGAACGTGAATTAGGCGC